TTTTTTTTTTTTTTTTAAACAAGGGCCCAGTAGCCAAGGCTCATATTATGAATTTGAATACACCGCAGACACACGCCTCGGCCACTGCTCCCATAGAAACAGCTTCCCTGTACAACTAGAATGAGAAGGATCATTAAAAAAAAAAAAAAAAAAGATTTGAGCACTGAGCATTGATTGCTTCCCCAGGAGGGAAGGATTAACTCAGCCCCATGGACAATCGACTTCTGCCCTACTATACTGAACCACCAATGATCAGTCCCTACAAAGCAAGATTTGGGGGGGGGGGATATGGCAGGGCAAAGCAATCGAGCACATCCCAGGTCCCAGTCACAAACCCTAATTGAATATGACCCACAGTAAATGTATCAAGGGAGGAAGAATTCAGCAATGAAGGGAAATCACCGGTCTTACAGCTAGCTCCATTTTTCTTTCTTTTTTCTTTTTCTTTTCTTTTTAATTACAATAATTACTCATTTGTGTGTTTTATCACTTGTATCATCATAACAGTCTGCATAACATGTTGCTTGGCTCCTTGCAATAAGTCTGTAAAGGGAAGCTAGACCCGGTTTCCAGCAGGTGTAGCTCCCCACCAATGGAACGGAGCCATCCAACAAAGGGGCGGTGGAGGGTATGTCTGCTCGTATCAGCCCCCCCCCCCCCCCCCGCCACTGGTCTTTTTCTTTTTTTTTAAAAAAAAAGAAAAAAAAAAGAAAAGAAAAGGTTGCTGACCCTCCAACTGATCTAGTACACCGCAGTTGACCTCAATGAAACGGGATTCTCCCTCCCCTTCTTTTCCTTCCCCCTCGCTTCACTTCCCTATTTTCTCCTGGAGTCAACTTCCTTTTTTTTTTTTTTTGGATCAGATATTAAACTGATGAAAACAGATACTACGCTTGATCTTAGCCAATTTTTTTTCTTTTCTTTTCTTTTTCTTTCTCTTCCCTCCCCTACCCTCCCCTTTCTTTGCCTGCTCTTCCCTCCCCTTTATTTTCCTGCTCTTCCCTCCCCTTCCCTCCCCTTCTGTGCCGGACCCGCCGGGATGGCGGTCCGACAGGATGGAGACGAAGGGTAGACGAGGGAGGAGATAAAGATGGAGCTGGAAGGGACAGCGCAGCTCCGACGCAGACTCAACACGCACGTACTCCAAGATCTGCAAAAGTGAAGAATAATGAAAAACAGACTTGTGCTGGGGTATATTCCCAGCAGACTGACTGACTGGACTGGACTGGCCTGGTACCGACAGTGGTACCGGGCAGGACTAGAACAGCACACGGCCTGTGGGGTCAGGCCACGGCCTGGTCCCACAGGCCGAACTGGGCAAAAAGCCAAATAGGCCCTGGCTGTAGGCCAGGGCAGATGAAGGTCCGCTGCACGATCCTCAGACCTGTAATGGATCGCAAGAGCCATAAACACGTTATCCGCAAAAGCAGCGGAACTCTGCAATAAAGAAAGCTGAGAAATCTAGGATGCGGAGCAAGCTCCATGCGGAGTCCATGCGATGCATCCTAAGCTACATAATGTCAAAAGAAAAGCAAATGTMTGGTATACATATCCTAGCTAACAGCAGAAAATGAAATGTAGWATGATACAATCCTAAAGTCCTGGAGGCAGTGGCCTCAGTGCTGAAAGGAAAAGGGCAATATGTCACAAGATAATGTCATGTCGCTGAACCACTAAGAGTGGGATGGTCTCAGAGGGGGTGAATGCAGCCTAAGAATCGAAACTCCTAAGGGCAGTCACACATGAAGGTGGGATAGGTCATCAGGCTCAAGGTGGGAGAGTGGTAGTGAAACAAAACCAATGACCCTAACAGATAGACCATCAAGGCGGGTAATGCTCGACAAAAGGGCGACACCATGCAGGGTCGATCATGAAAAGGGGGAGTCTGGAATAGGGTGGAGCTATGCCGAACTGGAGGCATGCAATAGCCGGCGCTAGGGTGATGAGGGCAGTGGGTGAAGGAAACATGCACACGACTCACCGACCGGGAGAGGGAGCTAGATCTGTGAGCAAGGAAGCTAAGATAACGCTACGGTCCCAATGCCTATGCGATACCAAGGGAGAGCCAAACTCAAAGAGACCAAGCTAAGTGAGAACCATCATGCGACAGGGGCAAGGGAGTATGCAGGGTAGGGTGGTGACGTGAAGTAGTCACGTCCAAAGTAGTTGAAGTCGTCGAAGTAGTCGATGAAGTAGCAGTGGGGTCGATGTCGAAGCAGAGCGGCAAAACGCTGACATCCTGAAGAAGAGTTGATGATGGGGTACCTGATGATGTGAGTCAGTGGGGAAAGATAGAGGATAAGAATGTCAGTCATCGTAACGCGAAGGACGACGATGAGTGCGCTGTGGACGCTCGGAGGCGACCGTCTGCGGCTGAGGAACGGCCTCAGAGGGGGTGGGTGTCGTCCTCAGCAATCTCCTCAGCCGGAGGAGGAGGAAGAGGGTCAGTTGGCAGAGGGGGTGGGTGTCGTCCTCAGCACGATGAGCACGATCATATGCACGCTCCAACATCCTGGCAAACTGCAAGTGCTCGAGGGGCTCCCAAGTAGCCTCCTCATCAGGGAAGCCCTTCCAACACACAAGGTACTCGATGCGTGGAGGGGTATCGTCGGTAACTCGGCGTGATACGATGTCGGAAACAACGAACTCCTCGTGACCGTCCACCATGATAGGTGGAGGGCGCTCATAAGGGCGTCTGGCGAAGCGCTTGAACGGTCTGCGATAAGGACGCAGCAAGGAGACGTGGTAAACATCGTGTACGCGATCCTGTCGAAGGTAATCAGGTAGCTTCACACGGAAGCTGACCGGACTAGCGGCAGTATCAGAACCGACGGCCTGAAGGATGCGGCATGGACCGAAGAAACAACGCCTGAACTTGCGAAGCGTATCTGCTTCGAGCTGTAAGTGGCGTGCGTCGACGAGCACATCGTCACCGACTTTGAATGGATGATCCATTCGTGATCGGTTCGCTCGTGCGGCCATGCGAGTCTGGGAGTCGGCTAAACTCTCGTGTGCGCGCTTCATAATCGCCGACATGTGGACGATCCAGTCGTCAAGCGCAGGGCAACGAGTGTCTGGGCGCAACCGTGATGGTCGTAGGAAATCCGCGGGCACGCGAGGGTGGTAGCCGAGGTCACAATAGAATGGCGACATCCCCGTGCCTGGCGAAACAGCGTGGTTGTACGCAATCTTCGCGTGGGTTAAGTGTAAGTCCCACTGCTGGTCATCCCTAACAAACTTTCGGAGGATATTACCGAGAGTTTTATTGGTGACCTCAGTCTGACCATCCGTCTGAGGGTAGTAAGACGATGAGAAGCGGAGCTGGGATCCGTACACCTCGTGTAGGCGTCGCCAGAATGTGCTGGTAAAGCGCCGGTCACGGTCGGAGATGATGCTCTGAGGTAAGCCGTGATCTCTCATAACTCGGTCGAAGACGATATCGGCGACCTCACGAGCGCTAATGCGATAGCGGCACGGGACAAAACGTGCACGCTTCGTGAAGCGATCAACGACGACCAAGATAGCATCATGACCGCGCTCAGTGGGTGGGCGGAGGGGACCAATGAAATCCATCGAGATGGACTGCCAACGACCCTCAGGTATGGGTAGGGGCTGAAGTAACCCATACGGAAGTGGTTCGCACTGTTCACCTCCTGGCAGGTAGGACACTCCTGGATGTAGGCTTTGACAGAGTCCTTGGACTTCGGCCAGACGTATAGCCGGCAAACACGAGCCAACGTCTTGTGGAAACCCATATGACCGGCAGCTGCCTGGTCATGGAACTCTGCTACATCCTGGACGCGGAGCTGTCCGGTAGAGGGAACGCAGATACGTGGTTCTAGCTGACCAGATCTGTCATGCCAGTACACGATGCTGTTCTCCCCGAGGGAGTAGGAACGAACGGTCTTGCCACTCCGCAGTGTCGCGTGGATGACGCGATAATCGGGGCAGTGGCGGTACTGAGTGTGATACGCGTCGATCACCGAGTGATCAACAGTGGTGATAGAAATGGCAGCAAGATGGATGGGTTCCTGATTGTGATCAGGACGGCGGGACAAGGTACCGGCGACGCGGTTCGTTTCACCCTTGATGGGTTGAGTGGTGAAACTGAACTCGGATAAATCACGCCACCAGCGTGCCTGTCGAGGGGAAAGCTTAGGCTTCGTGAGGAAAGCCTGAACAACTGAGCTGTCCGTGCGCACCGTGAAGGATGACGCCAATGCCGGGTAGCATAAACTACTGCGAGAACCTCACGTTCATCGGCAGTGTAGTTTATCTCGGTAGGCAGTAGCTGACGGGAGTAGAAAGCGATCGGGCAATCCTCGGCACGAGCCTCGACAGTCCCATCCTCCGCGATGGTCGGGGAGTAAGTAACAGGAGGACTGTTAGTGGAGGGAAGTGGTGGGAGGATAGGCGTCAGTCGAGAAGCAGTGTCAGCAGGAGGGGGGGGGAAAGGAGGGACATGGGGGTAAGGTGAATCTGGTGGAGAGGGAAACACCTGAGAAAGGACAGCTCCTACTGCAAAGTCTGACGCATCGGTGGTGACGATAAAGGGACGATCAAAATCGGGAAGGCGAAGAACCGCCTTCTTGAGGGCGCGAAAGGCGTCCTCGCACAGGGGTGTTCAAAACCACGGCGGGTTCTTCCGAAGGAGGGTAGAGGTAAGGACGTAGGAATACCTAGCGTATCCCTGGATAAAATTACTATAGTAGCTGGTGAGGCCTAGGAAACTGCGAAGCTGCTTGGCAGATGTGGGGACGGGCCACTCTGCAATAGCAGTGATCTTCGCGTCGTCCATGTGGAGACCCTAGTCAGACACATGGTGTCATAGGAAATCCACTTTGCGCTGGGCAAAGCGGCACTCATTGAGCTTGGCATAGAAGCCATGCTTGCGTAAGCGCTGTAGAACATCGCGAAGGTGTCTGAGATGGTCTTCTAAGGTACGACTGTAGACCAAGATGTCGTCCAGGTATACGAGAACGTATTCTTCAAGGATGTCCCTGAAGATGTCGTTCATCGTCGTCAGGAAGGTGGCGGGTGCATTGGTGAGGCCGAATGGCATCACCGTGAACTCGTAGTGGCCGAAGCGCGATCGGAAGGCGGTCTTCGACTGATCCTCTGTGGCAACGCGGATCTGGTGGTAACCGCTACGAAGATCGATTTTCGTGAAGAAGCGGTTGTCTGCCAGACGGTCAAACAGCTCATCCGCACGGGGCATGGGATAACTGTTCTTAACCGTGTAACGGTTAAGGCCGTGGTAGTCGATGCAGAGGCGGAGAGTTCCGTCCGCTTTGCGAGCAAAGAGGACAGGTGCACCCCAAGGGGAGTTACTGGGTTTAATGAAACCCAGTCGAAGGAGCTCCTCAAGCTGACGCTTGACTTCCGTCGCCTCTGAAATCGAGAGTCGGTATGGTGCCTGATGGTGAACACGATAGTCAGGCACGGGCTGGATGGAATGCTCGACACCGCGCATCGGGGGAATCCCGCTATATGAGAAATAAGGGGGGAAGACGTCGCGGTACTCTCGAATCAGGTCGCGAACGGCGAGCTCTAAGTCTGTCGTGAACCGTGTGAGTTCCTCAGCGTCTGCGTCAGCACGAGACGTATGTGTGGACTCGACAGTCGACGGCGCAGGGGCTTGAGACGTGGAGGAGGTATCCGCAGGCTGACGAGTGGATGTAGAGATGGGAGCCGCGAAGATGGAAGGAGGGTCAGGGGGATCGGGCTCCAGAGAGATGAGCTCAACCTCGGGACATAGTGGATCGTAGCGAAGAAGATCCATAACGTTCACTGAGTAGAACGTGACGTCCTCCTGTCGTATGAAGTGAGCAAACTGACGAGGGGAAGTGAACGCGATGTTGGGGTGGGACCCTGAGAGACGAGGGTCCTGGGGAGGTAGGTCGGGCGGGGTGTCGCCCGTGGTTCCAACGAAGGGGACGCGATGGGTCTGACCACACTTCGTTTTGAGAACGAGTGTCTCGGTCGCCCATTCGGCCTCTGTGCCACGGAACCGGCGAGACCAGGGAGTGCCAAGGATAAAGTCGTACCCAGTGTCCAGCACGTCGAAGTATGCGGAGGAATGGTAGCGCCTAGGCGTCTGGGGACTATCCGATGGCTGGAGGGTGAGGGAGAAATGGAGGTCGGGGACCGTCTGATCGATGAAGCGCTGCGTCTTGTTATCTCCGAGGGTAATGGAGATAGGAGAGCGAGACCCAGAGGTAGCTAGGCGAGCTTCCTCAACCACGCGAGGGTGAACGAAATCTCCCTGCGAGCCAAAGTCCCATAAAGCGCGATACACCCTCGTAGATGTCCCTAGGCAAATAGGGATGATGGGTAGGGTGCGATCAGGGTCAGAGAGCAAGGCAAGAAGACGACGCAGGACGTTGATGTGTCTCGTGAGGCGCCCCTGACGAGCCTGCAGAATGCTCAAGTCCAAGAGAGATGACACAACGTCATCGCGAGTCGCTAGCTGAGCGCTACAACGGGCTGTGCGAATGGCGCGACGCGTCGAAAGTCTCGGGGGAGAAGCGCTAAATGCGGCGGTGTGTTGGGAGGCAGACGGTACCTCGACAGACGATGGGGTGGAGAGAACTGCGTCTGTCGTGTCCTAAGGGTCCTCTGGTGGGGTAGCCAAAGGGGCAAACCGCGACTTGGTGGTCGGGAAGCCGGCTACGTGCGAGGCCTCAGGGGCACCGTGCATCGTGGCTAGGTGGATGGGGTTGACTTGGCGGGGCCGGGGGGGGACTGAGATCGACGCTGACGAGAGATGTCAGCGTAGTGCCGATCGAGGGCAGTATGGTATGTACACCGTGAGGAGGGCACGCTCCTCAGGGGATAGAGCTCCGCGAGGAGGGACATAACCCTGTGGGATGTCTATCTGAGAAACCGTGGGTGTGCCGGCGCCAGCCTGTGCAACCCGGCTACGAGCACGACCCATGGCAGACATGGCGATCAACAAGCGCTCGGCCACTGAAACAGTGTCGTCATCCAAGTAATACTGGATAACGTCTCGTAGCTCGATGTCCTCGGGGGCGTCCCCAAGGGTAGGGTCAAACTCGGCCGAGGCGTCCTCGCCGTACTCCAGAGAATTGTAGCGCCGAGAGAATGGTGCTCCAGGGTGGGCTGGTCGACGAAACCGGCCAGCGAAGGAGGATCGACCGCGAGTAGCACCACGTGACTGGGTGGCGGCAGCGGTGGATCGCGAAGAAGATGGGATGGTGGAGAAGCGATTCCGCATCTTCTGGTACTGTCGAGCAGCCTCGTAGGCTTGCTCGGCGGAGGGGAAGCTCTGTCGCCAGAGCTCGATACGGTAGTCAGTCGGGAGACTGACTACGAACCTGTTGGTCAAAAGGGCCTCAGGTAGGAGTGCCTCATCGTAAATGAGGCGGGCGTCCTGGAACACTCTGATGTGACGCTCAAGATCGGAGGGTGTGGAGGACCCGCGCCACTGCGTCTGGGTGACCCGGTCTAGGGCGTCGGTCGCATCGTGGAGGGTGCCGTAGCGGTCGTGGAGGAACCCGGTGAAATCTGCGAGAGTGGGCGCCTCACCTGCACGAGTACGATGGGTATAATAGTTCTCCCAAACGGAGAATGCACTGCCTTGCAGTTTAGTTGCGAGGGCAGAACACCACAAGTCCTGACTAGTGTTAGTCAGTGTCAGCGTGCGTGTGGCAGCCTGTAACCAATGCGACACACGCATCCTACCGTCGTAGTCGGGTATGTCCGACAGACGCACAAGGGTGCGACTGCTATGGTGGCGGCGAGGGGAGAGGGGCTGATGGGTCTGCACTACGGCGGAAAATGTTGGAGCTGGTGCAGAGGTAGAAGTGGGGGCTGGCGGTGAGCCGGGGCCGTTGGTGGAAGGTCCAACGGGCGTGGAGGTAATGACCGCAGCCGACTGTGACGGAGTAGCAAGGTAGGAGGGTAGAGGGGGGGGAGCCGGTCGAGGGAAGCGAACCGGCAAGACAGTGGTGGGAGGGACGTTGTAAGAAGAAGAAGGGTGCGCAGCCTGTGAAGGGTGAGGCTGCCGAAGGGAGAGAATCTCCGCCTCGAGCTGCGCCACAGTGGCTTGTAGAGTAGCCACTTGCTGGGTGCGCGRGGTCGGGGGKGGAGGAGGCGGAGGGAGTGCCCTAGCAGGGAGACGAAGAACTCCGGGCCGAAGTTCCGTAACTGGTGCAGGAAGCTGCGACGCAGCACCGGGGTGGGTAGATGAGACTGCCTGGCCCGATGTTGGTATCTGGGCGACAGCACATTCGGCGGTGGCCGAAGCGGCAGGGGCGGCGGAGGGGGCGGCGACCGATGGGTGTATCGCCACAGACGGTGTGGTCTGGGCAGCAGCAACACTCACCACTGGGGCGGGGGAGTGCTGGGCCTGGCCCGCAGATGAGGACGAACCGCCACGTCTCCGTCTCTGGCGTCGTGGAGAGCCAGACTCCGAGCTGGTAGGCGATGGGGTCTGAGAGCGGTGGGGGGACCGATGAGGGAAACCCTTGAGGCGGTGAACTTCAAGGGCGAGCGCATTAACTTGCGTCTCCAGGGGTGCAAGCGCATCGAGTCGCGCTTGCAGAGGTGCAAGGAGGGACACAAGAACARCGCGAAGGTCCGTGGGGTCCACACYATGCTGACCCTGGACCGTGGGGTGGGTGGRCGCCTGAGAGGTGGATGGCGCCGCAACGATCTCCTCCACTGTAGCCATGTCCGTGGATGGTGGAGGAAGAGAGGTAGACATGGTGGGAGGTGGGGGGAGATATGGGTTGTGGTATGGGGACAGAGGACCACCTGTGAGAGGGAGAGGACCGCGGGAGCGGAGTGGGTAGTCGTGGGTCGGCTCGCCCCGTGACCAACGGGTCACGCGTGAGATGGTGGCGCGAATCCGGTCTAGGGGAGAGGAGCCGTTCGGGTCCAGGGTGCCCGACGGGAGGAGGTGGGAGAGTAGGGGGGTTAGGGAAACCCAAAAGCCTAGAAAAACCCTAAGGAAACCCTAACCGGAGTTTAGGTGGTTAGGGGAAGGTGGCGACGACCTAATCAAGAAAAGAAAATAATAAATATGGAGGGGAGGGAGAATAGAGTAAACAGTGGATTTTTGAGATAAAAATAAAATAAAAGAATAAATAAAAATAAATAAATAAATAAAATGTAAAGATTGAGAAGAGAGAGAATATTTATTTTTTTGGAATTTTCGGCAGTATTTTCCCACTTCGCATGGGGTCAAAAATGTGCGAAGAGGAAGGAAAGTGCAAGAGGGACACACTAACTTTTAAAATGCCGCAAATTAAAATTTTCATAAAAATAAATAAATAAATAAATAAATAAGGAGGTGGAGGAGAGTGAAGACAAGCTAAGTTTTGGAATTTTTCAAAAATTTCGGCAGCGTTTCGTTACCCCCATGGGGTCGAAGTGTGCCGTCAGGCAAAAAAGTAAGTAAAATAAGAAGATTTTGTCAGCACTTCGCTACCCCCAAGGGGTCAAGATGTGCTGAAAAAAGACTAAGTATGAAGAAAACGGAAAATTTCGGCAGCACTTCGTTACCCCCACAGGGTCAAAATGTGTGCCGAAAGCAAAAATGGCTAAATCCTAATCAGATTTTAGGGTGCCGCAGAAAATTTTGAGTTTTCAGAATAAATAAAATAAATAAAAAAATAAATCAGAAAATAAGAAAAGAGGTAGGGAATAAGATGATTCAGATTTTTGGAGGAAAAGCAAATTTTACATCAAAAAGAAAGAGAAAAGAAGGAAAAACATAAAAATTCGGAGTTGGGTGGGGGGGGGGGATGGAAAAGTGATGAAGAAAGAGAGAAAAAAGTGAGAAGAGAAGAAAAAGGTAAGGTGGGGGATGGGGGAGATGATGGGATTGTAGTTGGGGGAGGGAAGGAGGAGGAGAGGGTGGTAGAATGGGAGAGAAGGATATGAAAAAGGTGGAGAGAAGTATGAGATTAGTGAGAAATGGTGAGTGGGGAGGAGAGGAGAGAAAAAGGTTATGGAAGATGGGTGGAGAGGGAGGTAGGGGTAGAGTGTAGTGGTAGGGGGGAAAAAGATGATCAGATGATGGGGGGAAAAAGAGAAAAGAGGTTGGGGGAGAGTGGGTTAGTGGCAGGATGGTGATACCAGGCTCTTGGGTGGCCAAGAGCAAAGTTCTACCAAGATCCACAGGATCTTGGCCTTCAAGATGCTGCTGGTGTGATGCCACAA